GCCCGGGCGTCCCCTTCCCAAAATGGTGATGACTGTGTGTATCATGGGGTGCATGGTATGAGGCTGCTGGCTGTCACCCCCCAAGGGCAGAGCCACCTGAGCATACCTGGGGTGGCCTGAGTGGATTCTCTAATGTCTGATATAAGGGTTGGCTACTCGCTGCAGCCTGTCCTCCGTCAGGGACTAACCTGGGTCTCCTCTGAGCCTGTCTGCCCACGTCCACGTGCTCCACAGCAACATAACGTTATTGCTATATCTCTCACCTCATTGCCAAACTTGAGTTGCAATGGCTGAATAGGTTTGCAGTCCCAGAATGGACTGGGAGATTGTGTGACCTCTGCCTTTGGGTGCCGTTCTGTGCAGTACCCGTGTTGCGGGTCATCGGACCTGCACCTCTTTTCTGACCCACGAGGGCTGCTTGCACGCACAAACCCACCAGCTTAAAAACTTCATCTGGTGAAGAAGATAGTGAGGGGTGATGGGCTGATTTAGCCCAACTCCTCCTTTCTTGCTCTCTCTGAGAGCTGCTTTTCCTCTTGCCCTTCCCAGCCCAGCTGGGAGCCATCTCCCAGACTAGGTGGCACGGGGTGGGGGTTATGCTAAGAGCTGCTGGTGTGCTGCAGGGTAGAGTAGCTTGGACAGGAGCAGGCTAAAGTATTCCCCAAGCTCGAGCAAAAAAGGCGAGGGGAGGGAAGGGGGTGGTGGGGGCTGCAGGCAGCACCGATGAGTTTTGTGGTGCTGGGTGCTGCTGGATCTGGCTGGTCCCAGGGCACAGGGAAACCTGGCTGCAGGGGAAGTCCCCAGACCCCACGGTCCTGGAGTTGTTTTTTCTGCTTGCTGCCTTTTGAAAGGGAGGAAATGAGAGTGGGGCTGTCCCCACAGAGGGTTTCAGCCATGGGGGTAACGTCCCCCGCTCCTCTGGGTGCATCTCAGCGGGGCGGCTCACCAGCATCAGCCAGAGCAGTGGCGGGGGGGTCAAGTATCAAAAAAAAAAAAAATCAAGATGAGGAATTAAAAGGCACCAAAGCTTTTCTATTGAGTCGAGATAAGCTTACCTGGTGTCAATGGCCCGGCTCTTGAATGCTGCCTGCTCTGTGCTGGGGCTGGTGATGCTGCTGCCATCCCAGTTCATGTTTCTTCCTTGAAATCAGCTTCAGCAGCATTTTGGCAGCATCGTACAGTCCTTCAGTGGGGAAGTGCCTGGCCCTGGGCTGTGCCAGAGTGGGGATCCCGGTAGAGCCAAGGGCAGGAGCACCGCCCCAAAACCCGTGAGCGCTGGATGGGCAAAGCCAGGGCCTTTCTCTGCATCCTCTGCACTTCCCCAGAAAACGAAAAGTCAGCACTCGGGTCCTCTCTCCAGTAGCGAGTGCTGAGAAATCATCTTGATTACAGTAAAAGCCTCTAAACTGCCCAGCGAGCAGTTCCTGAGTCAGATGCCCCGACAGGAGAAGCAGCAGGGAAGGTAAAGGAACAGCTTGGAAACAGCAGAAAGAATTAATATAGCATTGCAAACTAAATTGCATTGCTCCGGCTTAATTACCAACGGCCCTGGGCTGCAGAGCTCTGACCAAGGTCTCATCTCGCTGAGAGTGTGGCAGGGGCATTTTGGGGCTGGGCTTTCGGGTTGGGCCAGTCTGGGGGCTTGGGGAGGGGTCGGGGAGGACCCGTGTTGTTTCTTGCCCAAGCCTGTGTCCAGGTATCATTTGGGCAGCTTTGATGCTGTCTCTGGGACCTGTTCTGATGCTTCTTGGCTGCGATGCTTTCATGTTCTAGCCTGCTGAGAGAGCGCTGGCTGGGCTGGGAACGTCAGAGATGGCCAGTGCTTTTTGGTGGGGGATTTATATTGAGTTCCTTGGGTGTCAAGGGCCAGGAGGTCTTGGAAAAAATTGTGTCCCAAGTCCTCTCTGAGCTAAGGACCTTGGCTGAGCTATAAACAGCGCTGCTGCCGTGGGGATGTGCAGAGCACCCAGAGCCTGTGCAGACCCTCCCGTCCACGGATACAATCCACGGATACAAGATAATCTGGATTTTCCAGCTTGGGACTGGTTCCCGAGGGGCTGGGAAGGGTGCGGCAGGTTTACGTAGCTGCCACCGTGCTGGGACACCTCTGCAGGGGCTGAGGAGCAGAGGAGCTCCTTGCGGCACCCAGAGAGCATGGGGCATTGAAATGTACCGCTGCGTCTCCCTGCCCACGCAAACCAGCCTGGGTCTGCTTGTAGAAAAACCCCAAGAAAAGTTTTTTTGTTTGGGTGGTTTTTTTTTTTTTTTTTTTTTTGCTTAAGCAGAAGCTAGTCTGGACCAAACATCGCTATAGATGCATGGACAGTGTTTTTACATGGGTGACAGTTGCAGTGAGGTGTTTTTCTGTTGTTTTGCAGTTTGATTTAAATTGAGGAGATGCAAAAAGTCTTTTAAACAGCCCCTTTCTGATGTGCAAACCCGGCTTGCAAAATTTCATTCAAAAAAAACCCCAACCCCCTGAAAAAGAGCCCACACGTGGGTGTGAAAGAGCCCAATGGTGATGGCAGAGCTGTTTCTGCCGCAAAAAATTTGCCTGCGGTGCTCCCCCATTCTTCCCAGCCCAACGGCCCCTGCGGGGCTGCGCCCGGGGCACGCAGCTGCCTGCTTCCTCCTCCGTCGCCCACCCCTGGGTGCTGCGGCAGGAGGGGGCTTGCACCCATGGGTGCTCTACCTGCCAGGGCGAGCTCTGTCACTTACTGTGGGCTGGTCTGGGTACGGCTCAGCTGGGCAAGGTGCAAATGAGCAAGACTGGATTGCTTCATTTATTTGAATAGCAGAGGATGTATCGCAACATGGCGTGGCATGTCGTGACATGGCTCAGCTCCAGCCCGGAGGCCTTTTCTCGCTTGCTTCCTTCCAGCTGCAACAGACAATTCTGCAGGTGCCAATGACTCGTTAAAAAGCTCATTAACACCAGATTAATGACTCAGCCACCCTTTTCCCCTCCTGGAGGGGAGGGAGAGGGTGGCAATTCCAAGGTGCCACCGATTCATCTTCAAAGCGCCCCGTGCCATCGTCTGCACTGGGTCCAGCCCAGGCTTTAACCTGCCTTTCGATGCCACCTGTGGGACCGGAGCTGCGGGATGGTGGGACTCGGTGGGTGATGCCCAAATGGTGGAGGACAGATGGGGCAGGCCTCTGCCTGCGCTGCCTGGTCCTGCGAGCTGCCTGGGCTGTCCCATCCTGCTGAGCCCTGCACGGGTCCCCGGCTGGGGTGGTTGCGCAGCCCCATCTGTCCTGCTCTGCACGGCGTTGGGGAGGGGGGAGGCGAGGATGGCTTTGGGGACAGGGAAGGTGATGATGGCTTTGGGGACAGGGAAGGTGATGATGACTTTCCCGCGTGAGGGCGCCAGGGACATGGGAAACGGGCACCTGGCTCCCTGCGGGGCATCCCCAAGTGCCATCGGCAATTGGTCTTGTCCTCTCAGTATCGGGGTGCAGCAGGAGCCTCGCTGTCCCTGAGCCCCCTCTCTGGGCTGGGAGGATGAAGGGACTCGGGAAGCCTGGCTTGGCTACTTATTCCCTCTCCCAAGGCAGCAACTAAGCCCTCTGGCTCTTGTGAGCATCTGCCATCCATGACGGCACCTGACGCCCTCCTGGCTCTGGCTGTCCCCTGGCACGCGGTGACAGCTCGCCAATGAGCCAGGCATTAATCCTGGCATTAGCCTCTGTCTCTCCAACATGTATTTGTGTTGTCCCCCCGGGGGGGCTGGTCCCTTCCTGGGGTTCAACCTACCCGGGAGATGGAGAGGGGGAGATGGGTCCTGCATCCCTTCCCTGGTGCCCTCGGTCTCCCTTGGGTGGCTGCAGTGCCAAGGAGAGGGTGTCCCCCAGCTGCCACTGTGTCCCCTCTCCCCAGCAAGCCCTGTAGCCCCTGTGCAGGTGGACAGAAGGGACAAGGTCACCTTGGAGGATGGCACACCACCTCTCCCTCGTACCGCTGCTGCCTGCCTGGTCCTGCCTGGCTGCCCCGTTGGCTCCAGGCACGGGGCTGGCAGAGACCCCACCACCCAAATCCCATCCATCCTTGGGAGAAATCAGGGACACTTGTGCCTGTTCCTTGGCTGGCAGGCAGGGAGGGAGCTTCGGCCTCCCCCTGCCCAGCCTCATCCAGCCACTCCATGCTACATCAGCAGCCTAAAAATACATCAGCAGCTGTCCGCCTGCCCTGTGCCCCGCGTCCCCCTCACCCTCCAGCTGAAGGGACAAGGAACGGCCCCTCTCTGTGTGTAACCCCCCCGTGAAACTGTCCCCTGCAAGGGGTTTTGGGCTTGCTCTTTGCAGGGGGTATGTCCCTGTCACGCTGCCTGGTACCCAAATGCCAGTAGGAGCTGCAGGTGCTCAGCACCCATCAGGATGCGCAGGCCACCCTGTGTCCCTGCATACAGGGTGTTGGGTTGGGGCTGGGTCACTGGGGGTCCAGGGACAAGGTCCATGGCTGCTGTGATCCCCCCCGATGTGCGTCTGCCTTCACCAGTGTCTCTCTTGTCCTAGTTCCCTTACGCTGCTCCACCTCCTCAGGAACCTGTGAAGACCCTCAGGAGCTTAATCAACATCCGCAAGGACACACTGCGCCTCGTCAAGTAAGTCCTGCCAGGGGGGAGACAGGGCCAGGCACCCCACAGCCATGAGCCACAGGGAGGGAAGGGTCTGGCTTGATGCTCCCGGGGGATGCTGAGCACAGGGATGCTCTCATCTTGGCACTGGCAGATAGAGGGGATGAGCATTGCTGTCCAAATGTACCCCTTCCCCTCTCGGCATGGATGAGCTTCCCGCATGCGGGCACTGGCTGCGCTGGCTCCACTGCAGGATTAAAGGAGCTTAGTGCTGCCTTTGAAGTGCTTTACTTTTTCTTCCTCCCCCGCCTTCCAAAAGCTTTGTTGGAGGGAGGCTGGGGATTGCAGCCGGTCTGGGAGATTCAGGATTACAGCTGAAATCTGCCTGCGGCACTTCCTGGTCTGCAGGCTTGACCTTGGGCATGCCAGGCCCTCCTGGCGTGCCTTAGTTTCTCCTCATGGAGGGGGCAACCCTTTTTGGGACCATCGGTGCCAAGGGGAACCTTGCACTGGGGGAGCCGTCTCTGCTGGGGGGACAGTCCTGAGCCCTCCCCAAGGGGTGCCCGTCTACTGGACCCTCTGTGCTCACCAGGTGCTCAGAGGAGGTGAAGACTCCGGGGGAAGAAGTCAGCAAAGCCAAGGTGCACTACAACGTAGAGTTCACTTTTGACACAGATGCCCGCGTGGCCATAACCATCTACTACCAGGCGACCGAGGAGTTTCACAATGGGGTGGCGAGGTGAGGAGCCCCAGCCTGGCATGTGCCCCACAGCCTGGCCTGTGTCCCCCTGGCCCGGT